ACCCAGAGAGAATGGTGAGCCTGTGGAATTCTCTGCCACAGGAAGTGGTTGAGGCCAAAACATCGAATGGTTTCCAAGGAGATAAGATATAGTTCTTAGGGATAATGGGATCATAGGATATGGGGACAAAGTGAAAACAAGAGACCGAGTTGGATGATCAGCCATATTAAATGTCACAGCAGGCTCAAAGGACCGAATAGCCTACTATTGTTCCAGTTTGCTATATTTCTTTCATTTACAGTTCAAACATTTTCAATTGCCTGACCTATGCAAACCTGTTCACACCACCCATGAACAAAAAAAGTGTCAAGCTGATACAGATCACCACACCCCCTACCTAACATCATCCATCCACTGGGCAGGTTACACAGTTGCAAGTCTCTGTACCCTGTGGGATAGGTTGTATTAGATTGATTAAGCATGGGGCAACTTTATGAAAATACTAAAGGAAGTGGGGCTTGCGAAATGGAAGACATTTAAGAGAGATCTTTAATATTGTCATGCATTTTAATGAAGTAAATAAGGTTAAACATTTCCCAATAGCATGAAGGTCAGTCACCAGAAGACACTTAAAAGGGTCAGATGAGGTAAGTTTTTTTTTTAAAATGATGACTTATGATATGGAGTGGGCTGCCTGAAAGGAGAGGTTAAAGCAGATTCAATCGTAACTTTCAAAAGAAAATTGGATACATGGTCAGAAATAAATCATTTTGTGGATGTGGAACTACTTGGAAAGCTCTTTGAAAGAGCCAATATATGGATAAGTGGTTGAATGGCCTCATCTTGTGCTATACCTCATTATGGAAACAGATTCCTGTTCCTGGTGGTATATGCCTCAGTTCCTGGATGAAGCAGGCAGAGCCTGTGGGTGGAGGAATTTGTAATGTCTACCAATATTGACCTTAGTGTTACAACTTCACCTAACAATTTAGCCCAACTATACTCAATAAGACTAAATCAATCCTCCTGGATAAATTCAAAGTTTAATTTCCACCCTCATACATCATTCCTTTACCTGCTTTGACACGGGTCACTCCCTCTCCAACGCTTTCCACTATCCCAGCTCCTTCATGTCCAAGGATAACAGGGAAAACTCCTTCTGGATCTGAGCCACTCAAGGTGTAGGCATCAGTGTGGCAGACACCAGTGGCAATAATCTGATGGGCAAACAGTGTAACACGGTTAGACAAACTAATCACACACACACACACACACACACACACACACACACACACACACACACGAGTTTAAAAGCAAGTCCAATACAACTGGAGCAATTTGCTTTCTCAGATATCATCTTACAATAAAGATCAGATAGGAATCCAAAGCGTCATTATCTCTGGAAGCAATAGAATTAGCCTTAATTGAATTTACAAACAATTAAGTAATTTAGCTTAACAGGTCCAAACTCCATTCATGCCCTAACTAAGTCTCTTCCTATTCCTCTTCATCTCATTCTGTCACCACATCCTTCCATTCCTTTCTCCCTCACGTGTTGAACTCCCTGTTGCAAGCTCCACACCTTCACCATTCTCTGAGCAAGTAGGCTTCAGCTGAATTTCCTATTTGCACGTATTAGTCAGAACAGATGAAACATTAACTCTGTTTCTGTCTCTGTCTCTCCGCATATGTTGCCTAACCAGAGTATCTTGTAAAGGTCACACTTTTTTCTTCCAAATTTTGGATTGCGTATTAAAAAGAAGCGTACTGCCAAGGACAGTGGAAGGAACTGCTGCACTTTTTAAGCAAGTTGCTGGAACTCACTAAGTTATCTTTACACCGTTGCTACATTCAAGTAGTGGGGAAGATGTTTGAGACCCAATGGCCCAGTGGGTGTGTGTTCAGAAGCTTTGCACAGAGGCAAGCTTCATTGGTTTTAAATTAGGGCCAGTTGTGGAGGTCAGGAGTCAGAATGACAACACCTCTCTGACTGGTTTTTGGAAGGTGACTGCTGGTGTATGAACAGCAAATAACTAAAAGAACCCAGAATCAAGGAGACTGGAGATCAGGAGGACTTAGAAGTAGTCAAAAGAGACACTTCATCAATCCTGTGGACTGGTGCTATTGAACTGCGTTCCCCTACCTTTTGTGCATGCACTTATGAGAGTGTGTTTGTGCGTGTGCTTGTGCTACTTTAAGAGTTAAAAAGTCAATAATTCATTTTGGTTCTCTTTGCTTAAAACGGATTTCTTTGTTATAAGTGTTACTTATGAAGTACAGAAATCTGGTTAGTGCCTTCTGTTATTTGAGTGCATCAGGACATAAGTTGGAGATTTTAAGTAGTTTGATTAAAACTTTAACTTCTGTAATGATCCCAGGAATAGCAGGACTTGAGTACTGCCATGCTTTACCGAATGGTTTGAGACAATTTCCCCACCACTTTCTATTTTGAAATCAGATCTCCAGCACCTACAATATTTTGTTCTTCTACCCATTAGTATAAATAACTCAATTCCCCTTTGAAAGCTACTACAGGGGATTCTGCTATAATGTGATAGTTGCGTTCCAGCACAAATCATGTTATAGAAAATCCTGCTACCGAAATAATGGGGCCTGTGGGAGAAGCAGGGTTAGGGGCAGACCACCAAAAAAAGGGTAACGCAAAGGATAGTACTACTGTCAGCAGCTATTCAGACTGCAGCTTTGCAGCAGTTTGAAATCAATGATGGCGTGGCTGAGCTCAAACCTTCCACCACCCACTACAACCCTATGTGTAATGAGCCAGCAGATCAGGTACGGCTTTCCTCACGATGGAGGGTTTGCTCCTTCAGGATATCCTTTACTAGCGTTTCAAACGAAGCAATCAGTTACTCTTGAATATTAAACAAGAATCAACACCAGGCCAGATGAGGATAGCTGAGGGTCAAAGTTGGTTTCAGGAATGTTTTTGAGAAGGCAAGAGAGGGTTACTGAGGAAATTACAAAATTTTGGAGTTTGGCAGCTGTGAATAAGGCAAGTTTGGTAGAGCAATAAAATCAGGTATGGAAGATGCTAGAACTGAAAGGACACAGATCTATCAGAGTAAGTTGTTGGATTGTTTGAAATTACAGAAAATCGAGACAAGACTACAGAGCATTTGATAACAAGAATGAGAACTTTACAATTAAGGGTTATGGAGCAAAGATGGAGCTTACTTGAAGGCCTAGTCAAAAACAGTGAAGGGCAGCATCAACAGTAGAGTCACAACAAGCCATGACACCGGCCTGAGCACAGGTAGACGGCAATAAACTGTAGACAGCATCACCCTCCAATCATTATCACTGCCTCTTCCGCGTCCGTCTTCCAGTTAGCCCCTGATCACAAGTACACTGCAGGAATCATTAGCAAAGGGCTCCTGACAGTAAAATGCCAACTCGATGGAATTGCCTTATAGCCAACACAAGTTCACGTTTTAGAAATAGCATTCCCCTAGTCATTAATCGTGTTTAGCCAATCCACATTGCCGGAGCACACATTACAGCAGAAGCCCCTGTATTTAATCTGCCCCTTTATATTCACAGCCTTCCAAATGATCAGAACTCACTGCAAACAAATCTCTTCTCTTTACATCTGCTCCAGAACATATTACATTAAGAAAGCTCAGTGCACAAAAACACAGGATACTAAATGCTCTTAAGTTGGAAATGGAATTTACAAAATAAAACTTAAAAATTAGCTAAATTACTGTTACAAAATTTTAAAAGATGTTTACAAATGGTTTCATTTTACTCCATACCTTAATTCGAACTTCATGAGCTTTTGGAGGTGCAACTTCCACTTCCTCAATACTAAGAGGTTTTCCTGCTTCCCAGGCAACAGCAGCTTTACATTTGATAACCTGTTAAAACAGAAATCAATTACCAATTAATTTCAGAGACTGCTGGAAGTGGACAGGCAACGGCACTTTAAAACTAATCCCTCAACTGTGGAGAACTCTGGGACACCTCGAGGTAAAATGCAATATAAATGAAAATTCACTCTCCGGTGCCCTCCCACATTTAAGATGTAGTGCAAAAAGCAAGACGCAAAACCAACCTGGTAATTCTTCCAAGGCTGTTTTTTCCCCCCTGATTAGCTAAAATTGAGATTTGTAAAGAAAAACCAAAGCTGCATAGGCACCCATTTAATAAAAACTGATTTCACCCTTCCTTTACTCCTCAATCCCACAGTTTTTAAAAATGTACTCATTCACAGTACATGGGTCTCTCTGGTGAGGGCACATTTATTGCACGTCCCTATTTGCCTCTTAGGAGGTATTGGTGGTCTACTACCTGTCTGTGTAGTGTAAGTGTAACACCCACAGTGCTGTTAAAGAGGGAGTTCCAAAATTTTGATCCAGCTGGTGCTGTCAGATGGTATAACTCCAACAGGTAGTTACAGAATAGATGATGATGATGATGATGATGATGATGATGATGATGATGATGCAGGAGTAGGCCACGTGGCCCATCGCCCATTCTCCAAACTGGTTTTATTCAAATCATCAATACCCTCTTGAATACCTCGACCGAACCTACCCCCAGGCTGTGCAGAAAGGTTGCTTTTGTCACCTCGCACTCTCTTAATTTACAAATTACTTTAAACCCGTGCCCTTCTCTCATTCCTGATTCTTCTCCGAGCAGCAAGTTCTGTCTCTGGTGGCTGTCCAGACCCCTCGTGGTTTTGAAAATCTCCCCAACGACCAACATTAAAACTTCCATAAATGCCCAAAATCGTAACTAACTACCAGTCCTCTGTAAATGCCCCTCTTTCAAAAAGAGGACAGATCATGAATTGTTGCAATTACTCACTCGGAACCGCCCAGAATACAATGTTGCACCATGACCTGTTACCTCGCTGAGGGGATACACTGCGGTTACCCTCAAGCCAACTGCTGGCTGTCTCTCTAACACAAGCTGAGACTTAGCTCGCACTCCCTTTCTGACACAATCTAAGATTTACCATTTCCTCTCACCTTGCCCTCAGTCCCCGCCATATTTTCCAGCCCCAAACCTCTCCTACCACCGACTGCGCAAAAACGATGCGCCAGAAAGAAAGGGGCGGGAAGCTAGTTGCCGGCCCTCACTTAGATTGGTCCGATCCGACGTCAATCAGAGCCTATCTTCCACTGACTCTGCGAATACCGTTTGTGCTGACGTCCGTCTCCAAGGGGGTGGGGGGTAAGGTGGAGGGATCACCCTTTGCCCTCACCTCCCAATAAATGGGTTGCAAACTTTTCTGGAGTGACTGGTTACGATTGCAAATAATCCAGGAGCGGCAGGGTAAAAAATACCCTGCAGGGACAAAAAAAAACAAATACGTTTCGAAAAGGCAGCCGTACTGCCACGTTCGCACGTATCTCAGACAGAAGCAGTAAGTGCTGACTAAGTGGTTGCATCAGAGATGTCGAAATTACTTCCCAATCTACTGCGCCAGGAGGGGACACAATCATGAACTTGAGTCTTATCTGAGATTGCCACATTACACAATCGTGCATCAGATAGAACAACTGCAAGTACGGCTGCTTTGCTTCAGGAGATTAACTCAGAAGTGGATCCCGCGAGTGACTTGGTCCTTTTAGATTGTCGCACGTGGTTGTGTAGCACAACGCTGAGAAAGCTAGGTTCAGAATCAAACATACAGACACATAGCTCTCCATAGAAAAAAGACGATGGATTCATACAAAAGTGGAAAACTGTGGATAATGGGAATCTGGCCTGAAAGATTATTACTTCCAGAGATGCTGCCTGGTCTGCTGAATGTTTCGTTTCGTTTAGGTCTTTCAAAAGCTAAGGAATGCCCCACAAACAATTGACAATCAGTAAAGAAACTTTGGAAGTGTAGTGACTATTGTAATGTACAAACTACTTGCCTAGATGGGTGCAGCTCCAGCAACACTCATGAAGATTGACACCATCCAGGACAAAGCAGCACACTTCATTGGCACCACAACCACAAGCATCTAATCTCTCCACCACCAACACTCAGTAGCAGCCATATCTACTGTCTACAAGACCCTCTGCAGTAACTCATCAAGGTTCCTTCACTGGCACCTTCCAACCCTGCAACTGCCTTACAGCTAGGTGAACAAGAGCAGCAGGTTCACCTCTAAGTCACACACCATTCTGAATTGGAGCTATAATGCTGCTCCTTCACTGTCACTGTGTCAAAATTCTGAAATTACCCCTCTAATAGCGTTGTGGTGTCCCAACACTAAATGGTCAACAGCCAAAGGTTTTTGGCATCCTTGACAAACTATCATTCAAGCAACTACACCACTCACACACATCATATTCAGTATAGAGAAAAATGAGGTTGGCATTTAAAACAGTGAGTTTGGAGCCCCTTAAAGCCTCATGCCCTAGTTTGTCTTTATGGTCAAGACGGCCTGACTGCAAAAGGTAGTTGACCACTAACTTCAAGAGAATTAAGGATGGGCAATAAATACCAGCCTGGCCAGTGGCCGTACATCCCGTGAACCAATAAAGAAAGAAGAAAAGCAAAGAATTTGTGCACAGCAAAATTCCACAGATAGCAATGTAGCAAATGACCAGATCATCAAATTTTGTTGAGGATTCGTAATTAGTTATACATAAAAGACATAATATGGTGAGATTATGTAAAGCCAATACAACACTCCATAACTTGTAAATGCAAAGAAAGCTAGTTTCATTATGTGCCAAAAGGCAACAATATTTGTTCTTGATGATGTTAATTAATTCCAATACATCGCAGCATCATTTCCTATTCTAAGGTATCATTGTGAAGAATCTGGTCACTTACATCTTTAAAGGATGATGTGATTTCCTTTGTGTTGGAGTGTAAATATCTTGGTTTGATTCTGTTTTCTTCTCCATCGGGTTTGCAGGAAAATCTAAACAAACCTTGAGATATTTCTGATCAGATGTTGAGAGGTGGAACTTCATATGACTTTCCTATTCTATCCAAGAGAGTAACAATCACACAATGTAAACCTTTTCATTGTATTGTAGAATGTTACAATAACATGTTATCTTTATATAGTACCATTGAGATCGTCCTTCTCCAGAGGATCAGGCTAATGATCTGGGAACCCGTGTTCAAATCCCAGTGCAGCAACTAGTAGAATGTGAATTCATTTAATTTATGTGGAAATATAAAGCTGAACTCAGTAATAGAGAGAATGAAACTCTTGTTGATTTTCAAAACAAAAATCTGATTCATTAGAATCATGTTAATTACAGAGTAAGGAAATTGGCCCTTCAGCCCAATTTGTCCATGCTGAGCATGTTTCCTAAACTGAGCTTGTCTCATTTGCCTGTGTTTGGCCCATATCCCTCTAAACCCTTCCTACTCATGTGCACATCTAGATGCCTTTTAAATGTTGTAATTGTACCAGCCTCCACCACTTCCTCTGGTGGCTCATTCCATATATGCACCACCCTCTGCATGAAAAAGTTACCTCCAAAGTCCTTTTTAATTCCTTCCTCTCTCACCTTAAACCCATGCCCCCTAGATTTGGACTTCTCACCTAGGAAAATGACCTTTACTATTCACTCTATCTATGCCCCTCATGATTTTAGAAATTTCTGTAAGGTCACCCCTAAGCCTCCAACTCTAATACCTTCAAGGAAGGAAATCTGCCACCCTTTCTGGGTCTGAGGTCCATATGACTCCAGACACTCAGCATTGTGGTTGATTTTTAGCAGCCCTTTGAAATGGCCTTGTAAGCCACTCTGTTTGAGGGCATTTAGGGATAGATAATATATACCAACACTGCCAGTGACTTGCACGTTCTGTGATAGAGTGAGGAAACAAAATCTGGGATGGCATTCCAATGCAGTGCTGAATGAGGGACAGCTGCACTCTGGAGGTGCCATTCATCAAGGTGTGACATTAAACTGAAATCTAATTGTCCCCTCAAGTGGATGTAAAAGATCTCAAGGGTCAACATTGAAGAAGAGGTGGAGCATTTTTTTTTATTCATTCATGGTATGTGGGCTTTGCTGACTGGAGAAGCATTTATTGCCAGTCTGTAGTTGTCCTTGAGAAGATAATAGTGAGCTGCCTTCTTGAACTGCTGCAGTGCATGTGCTATAGGCAGACCCTGAATGCTGTTAAGGAGGAAATTCCAGGATTTTGACCCAGCAGTGCTGAAGAAGCAGCATATATTTTCATGTCAGGATGGTGAGTGGCTTAGAGGGGAACTTGCAGTGGTAGTGTTCCCAAGAATCAGCAGCTGTTGCCCTTCTACATGGAAGTAGTCATGGGTTTGGAAGGTGCTGCCTAATGAGCCTTGGTGAATTTCTACAGTTCATCGTGTAGATAGTACATACTGCTGCTACTGAGCATTGGTGGTGGAGGGAGTGAATGTTTGTGGATGTGATACCAATCAAATGGCTGTCCTGGATGGTGTCAAGCTTCTTGAGTGTTGTCATCCAGACAAGTTTTCCCATTATTTTGTCCAATATTTATTCCTGAACTAACATCATAAATTGGGCCTGATTTTGCTGTTCAAAAATGCCAGGATTTTGTGCACCTTGATTAAATCTCCTCGACCTCATCCACACTAAGGAAGACCATCACAGCTCCTGCCCTACCATCTCTCTTGCTTCCCTTCCTCATTTAACTGAATGTGGCATCATAAATAAACCTGGTCTTCAAACACTTTCCCCTTCTGAAATGTAACTGTTTAACTGAACAATATTTTTCAAAGCTAAAATATTGCAGCTCAATGTTTTTGTTTTAAGATGCTGGCTGGCCTTGTCATTGTGAGGTTAGTAACGCGTCGAGAAAAGTGATTTAAATCATCCCGCGCCTTGGATGAGATTAACCCTTTGGATTCTGAACTAATTTCACCTTGAAGCCCTGCGTGTTGTATTGTCTGTGTGTGTACGAATGTCTCCGTGTTTGTGTGTGTCTGTTTCAGGAGTGTGTGTGTCTGTTTCAGAAAAGTGTGTCAGGTGAATCACTTAGTGTCTCTCTGGTGGGGAGGTGGGGGAGGAGTGGGGTTTGATTGGAGTGGGGGTGCGGGATCAAAGCTTATGTGGTGTTCCTCAGCGGATCCAGCGTGTGTTTTAACGACCAGAGAAGACCCTCAGCCTCGGAAGTTCCACTGATATCCTGAAATCGCAGTGGACCGCAGGAGAAAAGGGGAAGGCACAAGATTCAGACTAACACTGCGGGCATAAAGCACAGGTAAGGAATGGAAAATGAGTGGAAAAGTCACATCAACATGCAGATGACACTGCTACCTAATGGCAGCAATAAAATTACTGCAAGTGTCAAAATTAAAGCGGAAAGTTCTGTGTGTAGAAAACAAAAACTGATATTAACAGAATAGGATTGTATTTACACGTGAAGATTCGCTTGTGATTTTGGTTCTTTCTAAGGTTGAAAATTGTGATCCACAAATACTGACCTTTTTGAATCATTCCAGCTCAATCAATGCGGTGGTCCCTATACTTGTAATGAAGGAGACTTCCCCCTCCCCCTCCCTCAAACAATATTTTCATTTCGTAACAATTGCTCTTTCTTGACCCGTTTTGTGCTTTAAGGGACGTGTCTCTACCGCCCCCTCCCCCGCTGCCATCTGTACATCGAATCACCAGGAGTCTGGGACAGTCCAGAATGGCGAGAGATTCCTGTTTTACCATTAGTTCATGTGGAAATATCTCGTTACCTTTCTCGTTACCTTTCTTTAGAAGTTAGTTGTTTTTTCTTTATTTTAAGTTTTTTAAAAATTAAAATATTCAATTTGCACAAACGAGCCTTGGCCCCTTCCCCCTAAACTGGCTCCCAAAGCGAAATGGATTTTTTGTAATCTGTTATCCCACAGCGACGCTATTGCAATGGGATTGGAGTGCAGTGAGTGTGTTTAGGGACGCCACATATTGAGGACAGGCCAAAAGGCAGGGATCAATAAATCTATCAGACAGCTACAATTACATCATAAACCATGACAGCAAGGCCTGATTGGTACAAGACCATTAGCAGATCCAAGGGCTTAAATGATATTTTAAGGGCCACTGGCACGGCAGTTGCTACACTGCATATGGTCTCACACAAGGAATAAGTTGACAAATTTGCACTGTAGGTATGGAATGTCACCACCTGTTGTTTATTTTCTATGTCGGATCTATGTAGAGATGAAACAAGTTTGTGTGTATGTGTAACAGGGTTATTCACAGTGCTTAAAAAC